GAATGTAAAGTCTCTCTGGTCCTTATTTTGTTTCTTGGTAGCACAACCACACACAAAATGGTTGTCTGCATTGGTGCTCTTGAAACCAGATGGGATCAATCTGAGTTTGGTGACCATGGAGGACAAACCTCCTTGGCAAGGATGCCACCATAACCCACCTTCTCCTCATCTGGTGCTGTATAAGGGTGAATCAGAAAAACAATTTGCATCCCACATCACTAAAAGAAACATCCCAAATCTCTGCTGGGTTGCCAGTGTGCTCCCATCCTCCTGCCTTCAGGTTTTATCGACTCAAAAGGTATGAAAATGTAGCTAGGGGTATTCTAAAGTTCACCTTGCTGTCATCTAAAGCGCCATAACCTGCAGCACAGGTAGGAGGGAAAGTCAGATTGTAAGACAGCAGGCATTTGAACTCCAACTAGTTTCAAAGCAGTCATTAACATCCAAGTAGTGAATATGCTAATCGCAAATGAGTTCAACCTCATCTTTAAAGTAAAATCGCTGAGGATTGCTGTGAGGAACATTACATCAGCTCGTGGATTCCTTTTGGAAAGGCTTGAACTTGAACTTGAATGCAATCCAGACAGGCTGTCCTCCAAACAGCATGACTGTGGGTTTGGATCAATAGGGCTTCTAGAATTGTTGGACCAACCACATTTTGTCCTAGAAAGATGATTTTTCTTTGTCTGACTCCTGTGAGCATCAGAGTGTCAGTCTAGAAGTTTTAGTTTATTCCTAGATGGTCTGGTCTTTGGTGGAAAACGAAGGCAGAGAGTCCTCAAGTCAGGAATAGCTCCTCTGTGATTTTCACCAATAGGCGATTCACCTCCCTTTTCTTTGTGAGCATTTCACAACTACATAAATTTAACTTAAAACTTAGAGGAAGATTCATTATCACAGTGCTCTGTTTATCGAATTGGAAACGAACTCATTCTATTTAGCAGGGAAGGACTCTGTGGTAGTAAAAACTGCAGTCAGTATTTATGGAAGGATACTTCATGACAGGCTTTACTTTTAATAACTTATTCAACCCTTTATAAACACCCATGAGTTACAGTACTGCCTGTAGAAAAGGGAAACTGAGTAGGAAATTGTGGCCCAAGAAGTTGGGAAAGGAGAAGGGAGATTAAAAATGTGAAAAGGCAAGGGGATACTGACCTGCTTTGCATGTCTATTCTTCTTTTGAGTTCCTCTTAGTCTTTGCTTTGGGTACAGATGATCAATTTTTCGTCTAAGCCTGTAGTTTTCATCCATTCGTAAGGCTAGCGCAATGTAGTATATATGCATCTATCCAATGACAGTCCTAAAACCTTGACCTTTCAAGGGCCTTAGATTGCTACTTTCTGAGAACAGAACCATTTTGTCTTCCTACATTTTCTCCAGTGCAGTAGTCCCAACCGTGAAGCATCCCCTCCCCCACCACAGTTCCAGAGATCATCTGAGCATTCATGGCAGAATCAGCAATGCATTTACTTGCTCAGTGCCTTGCTCAGACCCAGCCTGTGTAATGGGCTGATTGTGGTTTACACTAGATCAAGAGGGAATCTAGTGTAAAGTGGGAAAAAGTCAGGTTGTTATTTAGCTTAAGACTCCTGCAGGGTTAGTTCAATGCAATAATAAAACATTGAGCCAAAGCCATGTTCTTAAGGTTGTCACTTAAAAAAAAAGAAAAGACTAAAGAGAGGGGTGGTAGAACCTGGACTGGAGATGAGGCTCAAGTTGTAAAGCATTTCCCCAGCAAGTGCAAAGCCCTGCAAATCCCAGCACTGCCAAAAAAAAAAAGCAAAAAAACCCCACATGAATGTGAAAAACTTCATTTAAGGCTCTCTAAAACTAAGTTTGCATATGGTATTGCTTGTTCCTCCAGAGGGTGGTTTACAGAAAAACATTTTCTTGAAAAGGGTCACAACCACACTTTGCAATATGTGGTAGACTGAGTGATGGTCCCCAAAGACATCCATGTCCTATTCCCCAGAACCTGTGAATATGTTGCCTTGAAAAGTCAGAGACTTTGCAGGTTGACTGGATTAAGGTATTGAGATGGGAGAATTCTCCTAGTTATCCACTGGTCCCAGTATAATCCTGAGGATATTTCTAAGTGAAAGAAAGAAACAGTCTAGGATTTCCCCTAGTGGGGTACAGTATGAGAAAGAGTCATTCTGCTGCTGTGATTTTGAAGGTGGATAAAGATGGCCACACACAAAGCATGTGGACAGCTTCTAGAAGGTGGAAAAGGATTTTGCCTACAATCCTCCAGAAGGAGCACAGCCCTGAGAAGACCTTAATTTTAGCCCAAGGAAATTGATTTCAGACTTCAGACTGAAATCAATTCAGTGTGAAGTGTATCCACACTGTAGGATAACTTGTGTTGCCTTAAACTACTAGGTTTGAGGTTCTTTGTTATAGCAGTCACAAGAAGCTAATATAGTGTATTTCAGTACTACACAAAATCCACAGTAGTTTGATAAATTACAGAGTCTTCCCTACCAACAGCAGAAAATACAAGAGTTCCAGCTTGTCACCACAAATAATATTCTGTGGCTACCAAAACTAAACTATACGAAATGACATCTAAGATAAACAACTCGGAAATTTATGAGTAGGAGCTCAAGTCTAATTATGAACTTATTTTCATTCCAAACTCTGACCAGTTATTAGTGCTTCTAGATGAACAACCATAAATTTGTATTTTTTATTAAATTGATTGAATTTCAGAGTCTTGGAGGAATAGGGATTCAACCAAGAATATATATCAATACTTGTTATTAAGCTACAGTGTTACATTAACTAGTAGAATCTTAATTTGTTTAAGATTTCCTGGACCACAGCACACCTCTACACATTTCCCAAGCTCAAATATTTACCCGAGCTCAAAACTGGAATTTAACAGACAGCAACTTCTTTGAAGCAAATGAATGTTTTCCAAACTGGTGTAGACCAGCTAGAACAAAGACAAGAAGATACCCATACAGGCACACAGCTTCCCGTGACATGGCCTAAAGAGTGTGGGCTTTCAAAGAGGGGAGGAAACAAAAGATTTTAAAAAAATAACAATAACAGAATGTGAAACTCAGTAAGATCCTACAGTGAATTCCAATTCATCCAGTATAATTGAAAACAGAGGATTAGCATAAGAAAATGACAAAATACATGAATTGTCAACTTGCAAAGCAGTAGGATAGACTAATGTGGCTTCTTAACATGAAAATGACTTAAAATTTAACATAATCTCTTTGATGATTTGGAAGTCACTTTGGGGTGCTACAATATTTATTTCAGTCATGAATATTAACCATCATGGTGTGCCACTATAGAAAACAGTTTAGGATGTTTGAACTTCCATTGGCAGGTTTCTTAAGAACCACCAGTTACATAGGCATTTCTTAAGGAATGTGAGTCCTTAGGGTGTAGACCTTACGGTGTAAACTTACTTTGAGGCTGTGAATGGACCCTGGTCCTTTACGGTGAAGAACACGGCTCTGCTAGGCTGAGTGTGCCTTCCTGCCTATGACCACTTTTTACATCCTCTGGACTGAATGTAGTAGAAGAAGTCATCAAACTCCAGGCAAGTGTCAGCTAGCACCTGCTACACATTCTCTGACATTTTCCCACTTTCTCTTGCAACCTACATTCCATAGCATAGGGACAGTGTCTTGTTTCCCCTGTGCTGTTTATCCCAGTGCCAGGGACTTCACAGATGCTGAATGAATGACAGATACCAGATGAATGTGTGATTGTTGATGTCCACAGGCTCACATGATTTCAAGGTTCCTTCTTACCCCAATGTCACATCTTTACCAATATTGGCCACAAAATCAGCTGGGACACTGGGAAAAAATGTTAAATAGGAAGTAACACAGTGGCCAATGGGAATTTCTATCTCGGATACCAGTTAGGACTCAATTCTCTCCAAAAGGAGAACATATTCTCTTTTTTGTCTACTGAGGGGTGGAGCCGCACTCCAAGATGAAAAGAGATATAACTTAAGGTGAGGAAAAGGACTTTTCCTAAAAGCCTCCAGAAGGAACATAGCCCTGAGGACAACTTAATTAAATGACAGCTCATTAAAGTCTAGAAAGCTTAGCTATCCTTGGGCTCCATTCCCAGCACACACACACACACACACACAAAGCCTTCTCCCAACCCCTTCCTAGGTCCTGTGTCTGTCTTTGGGTCAAGCTGTCATGGCCATGACCACAGCTCCTTATCTGGTATGCCCACTTCCCCAGAGTTTGCTGGAGTCCTACAAGGAGAGATAGCTAACACTAGGACCTCTTCGTCTACTCTCTTCGGGAACTTACTCTGGGTGTTTGATTTGAGGACATCATATACAGTGTCTCAGTTAAGTGATGGAATCCCAATATTTCTATATTTGAAGTGATAGAAACTGGAATCCAGACCCTGCTCTTAAAGTCTAATAACTTATAAATTGGTGATGATGACCTTTGCTAAATTGGTGGCACTGTGTTAGGCATTTAACATGAAGAGTCACATCTAATTTTAAAATAACCCCACAACATGGATGGGTAGTAGCAGGAGTTCCATTTTACAGATGAGGGTGCTGCTTATGTGAACTAACTTGTCAAAGTCAGAGATCGTGATGGAAAGATGCAGGATTCAAACTCAGATTAGAGCTTGATCATTCACATAGGGGATGTGAAAGAAGCCCAGAGACTCCACTCCCAATAGGTCATTGCATGGGATCAATGGATGAACTATCTGTAATAAGGATGGTCAAAAGAATAGCTCACCCCAAAGCACCAGGTGACTCATAACAGGCAAGATCATGATCCCAGTGTTGCCAGAGTTCTTGAGTTTTCAAGAGATGTCAACCAATGTGGATTTTTAGTCACAATCTCCCTACCTTGTAATGTGGGTTCAATTTTTACGAACACTGACTGGGCAAAATAAAATGCCCTGGTACCCCACCAGCTTGCCACCCATGCATCTTTAATTCTTAACTCTTAACCCATGCTCTTCTACAGGCCCAGGCTGGGTACCTGCACAATCTCCAGCATCTCCGCCTTGCTGATGTAGCCGTTGCCATCCAGGTCGTACATGCTGAAGGCCCATTTCAGCTTCTGCTCCAGCTTCCCCCTCGATGTCACACTCAGGGCTATGATGAATTCTCTAAAGTCTATTGTCCCATCTCCATTTGCATCGAAGGTACGGAAGACATGCTCTGCAAATTTGGAGGCATCCCCATAAGGGAAAAAGTTCCCGTATATTTTCTTAAACTCTTCCATTGACAAATGTCCGCTGGGGCAGTCTCTCAAGAAGCCTTTGTACCATTCCTGGATCTCGTGCTCTGTAAAGTCTGTGCTTTCCAGCAAGTCCTGCATGACCTCTGGGCGCAGCTTGCTGTTCTGTTTCCCCATTCTGGTGGCAAGAATTCAACTGCAGACAGAAAAGAAAACACATGCAGTTTTCAGAGCTGCTCTTCAGGGGTACAGTAGGTCATTTATGATGTTCCTTGGGAAAAATTTAAAACGAGAACAAATACTCTATATCCAATAACATTGTCTAGGTTTTGCAACATTGCAGTCGGCCAAACAAAATGGTGGAAAAGCATATCAGTCAAAGATGTAAAGAAGAGATATCACTGACCAGACAGAGCCAACCAGACAGCAAAAATAGATAGATAGACAGAGAGATGATAGATAGATAGATAGATGATAGATAGATCTATAGGTAGGTAGGTAGACAGATACATACATACATACAGATGTGTGTGTGTGTGTGTGTGTGTGTGTGTGTGTGTGTGTTTGTGACAGAGAGCAGGAGAGAGAGAGAGAGAAGAGAGGGAGGGAGAATATTAATTGGTTACTTCATTCTGGCTTATCAGAAGTTGAGCTTGGCTTTGCAAAGGCTGAAGTTCTAAATGCTAGATCTTAGTAGGGAGAAATAAAGGAGAGAAAGAGGAACGGAGACAGCAAAAGAGAGAACTTAGCATGTTTTATTGCTAAAATATTGCCAGGTAAAGTGCAGCTTGGGAACTCCTTGGACATTATAAACAAAGACAGGAGAAAGGAGAATGGAAGAAACCTATCTAACACCAGAGTAAATCACTGACCATGTTGGGTTTAGATGGTACAGATGAGGCTTCATAAAGTTGTTTATAGGAAACAGGCCAAACTCTCCTTTTTAAATTACAAATTATTCCATTTTCTCTTATTGTAAGAGCAGCATACATCCATAGTAACATAGTGCAACAGGAAAACCCTTAGAGATAAACCCTGCTAGCATTTTGGTGTATGTCCTTCCAGATTTTTCTTTTTATGTGTATATATTTACATACAGACAGTCAAAGCTTAACTCTTTTCTGACTTCATTATGTTACAAAAGTGGCATACATTTACAGAAATTGCATTTTGAATTTTTGAGGGATCGCACTGGGATTTGAACTCAGGGCCTCATGCTTATTAGGCAGGCTCTCTACCACTTGAACCACTCCAGCAGCTCCCTGGACTTTGAATTTTGATCCTTTCCTAATGATTCTTGCTTGGATACTGTTTCCCAACGCTGGACAGCGGCAGTGAGCCGCAGCCATGTCAGCAATAGGACCTTGCTCTGCAGTGTGTTGTGCTGCTGAGCGAGGATGGATGGGAGGAGGGGTTAGATATATTCAATGCATTTTTGATCCCCAGTATTTCCAACTTACGCAATGAGGACATAACCTCATCGTAGGTTGAGGACCATCTGTGTTTTAATACATTTCTATTTTTTGAAAACAAGAACACACACTCTTTTGTTACTTATTTTTTAACTTAAGATAGTGTGGGTTATATACAGCCATGTTTGACCAGGTGGGGGAACAGCCATAAATACCATCCTCCCACTCACCAGTCATTCAGCATTTCCTAGGCTCTGGTGCTGTGACCTCCTCTCTCGGGGACACCAAGCTGTGCATGCACGGGGTGGGTGGGGGCAGTGAAGAAACATTACGATAGATAGGCAACACATCAAGCCAGAGACTAGACAGTACGTGCACTGGGAAGACCCAGAGGATGTCAAGCCCAAGGAGGTGGGGGGTGCTGTCAGAACTTCCTTGCAGCAGGTGCGACCTGACTTTGTACTCAGTTCTGAAATCTAGTGACTGTGGTCCAGTTAATTCCCTTCTCATAAAAGACTCTGCACTTATATTTTGCATTTTTCTTCTTCTGGAAACCTCCCAAAAGTAAGGCTGAAAAATGACAGAATGTTTTCTTTTAATTCTGATCGTGGATTTTCCACTTGGGGTTGTTTATTCATCTATGCCCGTTTCTCTCCTGCAGCACGGGCCACCCTGGGCACTAGTCACTATGGGGTTGCTTTGTCTCACCAGAGCCACCGCACAGGACATCTGGTGAACTGTGGAGGAAGGAAGAAGTGAAAGCCATAACTGGCTAGACAGGAAGGTAACTACCACACAGAAACCAGGAGTAGTGTCTTGGAAGAGGAGGCTTTGCCAGAGGAGGAAGACCTAGCTTTCAGGATGCTGTCTGTCACCCTAACAGTCATTCCGTGGTTACGATCTGGGCTCAGGATCACTGACATTGAACTGTCTGTCTGAAGCCCTCACTAACAAGAAATTCCCACGGACAACGTTTGTACCTTGCACTGTTCAAACTTCCATAGATCAGGAAACAGGGACAGATTCTCAGGAGTTGCCAAGTTGATTGATTCTAGTATTTAAAAAAGTTTTATTATATTTGTAATTGACACGTAATAATTGTACATACATAGATTACAGTGTAATTGGTTTTGGTGGTACTGGGGGTTGAGCTCATGGCAGGCACGCTACCACTTGAGCCACTCCACCAGCCCACCATGTGATGTTTAGATTGTGTATACATGGCGTAATGGTCAAATCAAACTAATTAGCATATGCATCACCTCAAACATTTATCATTTCTTTTTCGTGAGAACATTCAGAATCCTCCCTTCTAGCTATTTTCAATACACAATATATGATCCCCCACTGTGCGATAGAACACCAGAACTTAAACCTGTTGTCTAACCGTAGCATTCGTGGTCTCGCTCCTATGTGAATCTCAAAAAGTTAACTGTTTTCTGACTCCAATGCAGCCTCTGCATTGAAGGCAGATGCTGGCTCTGGGCTTCTTTTTTTTTTTTTTTTTTTGGTATGCAGGCATCCTCTGAAGGGTTGATAAATGGCAAACCCTCCTTATTAGCATGACCCACAGCTGCAGGGAGGTCCCTCTGAATGCAGAATCAACCAAACCCCACTTTATGCAAGTGCAAAATTAAACTACAACTCCAAACAGAACACAAATAGAATTTATAAACTGAACATTCCAATAACATTTACTTTCCCTTGCGTTTTTTTTTTTTCCTGGAAGTTAAAAAAAAAAAAAAAACCACAAACAAACAAAAAAAAACACCCAAAACTGGAGAGGCTGGTTTGTATTAGACTTTTGAAACTGTCATTTAGTTGCTAAATTGGCAATTGGCCTGAGGCCGGAATTCAGAAACAAGAGGCAATCCATAATCCATGGGTTTGCAGAGCTCCAAAACATTCAGTGGAATTTATAAGCAATTTAAACTTTTCCTTTTGGGGAGTTCTTTAGAATATAGTTCTTTGGTGTGGTGTTTAATCAAATCATCATATCACAGCTTTTGTTTTTGTTTTTTGCAGTACTGGGGCTTCACCTTGAACCACTCCACTAGCCCTATTTTTGTGATGGGTTTTTTCGAGATAGGGTCTCACAAACTATTTGCCTGAGCTGGCTTCGATCTGTGATCTTCCTGATCTCTGCCTCCTGAGTAGCTAGGATTACAGGTGTGAACCTCCAGCTCCCGGCCATAGCATAGTTTTGTTATGTACAAATCACCCTGTGCCTTACTATGGGCAGGGCGGGGAATTGCGATTTGAATGTTTAAACCTACTTCTTTAAAGAATCATTTGTTTCCCAGCAAAAAGCAAAGCACTGTTTCTTCAAAACCAACTGAAGTTCCTTTCCTAGCATTAAAAACGCACCTCTCATTTGTTAGTTGTTTTGCACCAGAAACAAATTGCTTTGGCTAAGTCTCCCACTGAGACTGATCTGTGCACAGCTATTTTTCAGTAAACAATAATTAAACCACATTTACAAAATCATTAGCACAGAAAGGCCATAACACAAACAAGGCAGAAGGGCACAGAACAAGTTGTTTGGGAAGCGGGTGTGCACAATTTCATCCAGAACTTGTTTCAGTAGATAAGTACAAATACTTCTCTAAGTAGGATAGGTGAACTTGAGAACACCATCTGGACTTGGTTAGATGGTACAACAGAAGTCTCTAGGGCTGTGCGATAGAGTTTCATTCCTTGGGTGGGGAGGGAGAAGAGGAATGCCTGACTGTACCTTTCTCTTTTAGAAAACAGAATTTTCTGCTTGCTTGAGTTGAAGGTAGAGGGCAGAGAATAATATGAGAAAAAAGCCACATTACATAGTAGTCAAGAAGAAAGTTAGTATGGAGTCCAAAGTTGCACTTCAGGTAAACTCAAGACCCCAAACTTGCTAGGCAAACAAACCGTCTACCATTTGAGCCACACCCCCAGTCTTTTTGCTTTTAGTTTCTTTTTCAAATAGGATCTGGCTAACTTTGCACAGACTGGACTTCAGTTCTCCTACATCTGCCTCCTGAGTAGCTGGGATTGAAGACATGGGTCACCATGTCTTCCAGCTTGTGTTTTGAGATAGGGTCTTTTATCTGGGACATTTATTTTGAGCCAGTTGACCATAATGGGGAAAAAAACTCAGGACACAATGCTTGAGTTCAAAGCCTGGCTCTAAACTGGGCATGGTAGTGCACACCTGTCATCCCAGCTATACCAGAAAATAAACAGAACGAACACTTTGTCAAAACTGGCCTAGGCAAAAATAGAAGACCTATCCCAGAAATAACTAAAGCAAAAAAACAAAAAAAAAGGGTTGGGAGGCATAATCCAAGTGAGTTCAACCCCCAGTACCACCACCAAAGCCTGGCTCTATTATGTACTAGCTGTGGGGGTAAATCACTTAATGCATGCACCTCACTTTTCTCACCTGTAAAATGAGTTTAATACTATGAGCTCACGCCTCATTGAATTCATGTCATAATTCAATGAGACAATCATATGTGCACAGCATCTGTATTGAATTAGGGACAGAAATACAATTGACATCTTATCTTTGATGCTTGCTAGGGTTCAGATATGGCTTGCTCCCTAGTGATTCATGTACTTGGTCCCCCAGCATAGAGGTACTAAGGTGGGAGAACCTTTAAGAGGTGAGGCCAAGGGGAAGGTAGTTAGGTTATGGAGGCTCCACTTTCATGAAAGGATTGATGCTATTTTGAGGCAGGTCAGGTCTCATGGGACTGGATTAATTCCTCTGAGTGGGCCAGTCCTCCCCCTCCGTTTCTTGCTGCCTGTCTTGTGTGCTTC